CTCAATTAAATGGCTTAATAATTTATCTTTAAAAAAGTGATAAAATATTTTCACCGTTTGATTCATTTTGTAAAACCTTACGATTTAGTTCTTACTGTTACGCTGAATAAATGTCATGACCGGAGGTCTGTAATGGTTAATATACATCATCTTAATATGACCACAGTAAAGTAACAGTTTATGTATATCCTCTTACAAGGAGACGTGATCAAATCTCAGGTGCCATATCTTCTATGATGAAGTTCTCATCCTTCAAGCTAGGTAGAATTTATTCTAATTTGATGACTTTCTCTGTGCCTGGCATTTCTTTCGAAAATGGGATGAGCCCTTATTGAAATGGGAACACAAAAAAGATTGCTTAATGTAAGATTAAATTGCATCCTTATAGTTGGTACACACCTCTATCCAGGTTTGGTTGGAGGTTGTATCCGTTGTTGTCTTTGGATGACATGTCCACACCCCTCACCCTGCAGTTGAGGAAAGATTTGATGACTGGACATATCTAGCGTTAATTCTGCTGATTGTATGAAGTTTTCAAACCTTGGTGTTATACAGTGAGAGCCAGGTGTAAACTGACACTGTTCATGTTTTTCATATCTGTCCCGCCATTCATACACATTGTAATCATAGCAACAAAATCTAAAGTAAACCATCTGTCGTTCACAGCAGCACACCACTAAACACATTGTCCTAAAACAATCAAAATGATTCCCCTTGTGAAAGTTCATCTCCATCCAACATTATCAATGTTCCACATCATCCTGTCGTTACCACCAATCAACATATTCTGTCATTATCAGCGTAAATCAGTCAACATTTCCACTTCATAATTTCTATGGAAGACCACAGCATACGCCGACGCCCCACCCAGCACCCACTGATGGAAGACATGTTGGATATTGTGATAGTTCTGTGTGATGCTGCTTGTCTCTTCTATGTGAGGTGCTAAACACACACCGCCATTCAACGGTTGCTCTATTGTAGTTGTGTAGTTCACTGGCCTGTTGTAGCCAGGATGAGTTGCCAATTATTAAAGCCTTTATGTGTGTTAAATACAAAAGATCATGCCATGTCTTCAATTAAAAAAAACAAAAACAATTGGTATAAAAGTGAATGAATGTTTGTGATACGTGGCGGCCAAGTGTATGTGATAAATACTGACATGAGGTCAGAATATTGTCAGAAAAAAAATCATCTCCTAATTTTGAAAAGAAACTATCTGTTGTCAAAGAATGTAAATCTTTTTTATCATGGTTGGTACTCCTGTATGAACCCTTTCTGAGTCTATGAACAGATACTCAATAAATTACAATCAATATTTTTACTTTTTGGAGAAGGAAAGAAAGTGTCCAAACAGCCAGTGACCATCAACAATCTGTCATGTTTATTTAGTCACATCAACTTGTAATCTTGCAGTGCCGTCTTTGGAGAAAATTCCTACAGTAATCAGGGGAATAGCAATCATTGCAAGCAAATTATTTTGAAAATCTTATCGTAGAAAATTTAGTGGAGCAGAAATGCAAACCTCTGTAATTGGAAGTCTGTAGCTCAATCAAATCATTAAATATGTATTAACATACCCCAATAACACTGACATTGTGTAGATTGTTTCTTTTTAAATGATAAATGGAGACATGCCATTTACTTAAAATGTGAAAATGCTTTTTGATTTCCACCATGACTTTTGGCATCAAGTACCCTATCAGTTATTTATCTATCCCAATTATATCTATAAATATAGCTCTTTAAATATCTCTATGGTACATAAACATTAGATGTACAACCTGCAGAAGGGAGATAATATCTTGGAGACATTTTGTACCACATTTGCCTAATGTATTTAATAGAGAGTTGTCTCCCATGTATAACATGCTTTGTGTGTACAATATTTTATTGTCATGGCTGTTTTGAATGTTCATTGGACTTGTTGATTGTGATGGATATTGACTGGTGAACTTGTCGATTGGCATTGAGTTTCTGAGACATGTCAAGCGAGAGTATGACTTAGATGACTTTAGCTGAAGTATGACTGAGAGCACTGAAATGACTTGATGGGTTTTGTGTTTAAGAGAAATGATAAACCTTGAACTATTTACTATATCTGGCATCAACACTTGTCTTAAAATCCCTTGCGGTCAGGCCGACATGTCAACTAACTGGCCTAGCCACACAGGGACTGATGTACATATTATTGTGTGAGTCAGAAGCAGCTATGGGAGTGGAAGATGTCAAGCATATGGCATTAACTGACTGTGTGTCCAACATTAGACCAAATGTACAAGATTTGTGAAGATTTTCTGGGATGTTTACAATGTGATTCAGTTTTATTTATTTTTGCTTGAGTCACAATGGCTGTTGTGTGTGTTATCTTGGTCTAATGTGTTGCTAGAAGTGTGTTATATCATCAATAGAGTTGTTTGTTGTCATCAATAGAATTGTGTGTTGTGTCATCAATAGAATTGTGTGTTGTGTCATCAGTAGAATTGTGTGTTGTGTTGTCAATAGAATTTTGTGTTGTCATCAATAGACTTTGTTTTTTGTCATCAATAGAATTGTGTGTTCTGTCATCAATAGAATTGTGTGTTGTGTTGTCAATAGAATTTTGTGTTGTGTCATCAATAGACTTTTGTGTTTTGTCATCAGTAGAATTGTGTGTTGTGTTGTCAATAGAATTGTGTGTTGTGTCATCTGTAGCATTGTGTTATATCAACAGAAATGTGCGTTACCTTGGTCTGTTGTGTCATCAACAGTAAGTGTTATCTTGGTGTGAATCTTGTTGGCATTTTTGTGCATTTTATTATTGACATTGTATGAATTCATTTCTTGCTATTGGTACTTGTGTACTTGCTATTGGTACTTGTGTACATGATCATACACAGTGATATGACAAATTTTCATGTGTTAATTTTTGAGAAATAAAAAATAATTACATAAACAGAAGAATCATCTTCAAGATGCCATAACAGGGGCTTCTCAAACTATTGGACATGGACTGGTTAAGAACTATTATCTGTGGAATAGTAAAGAAAATGGTTCAGATTTCTAAAATAAGTTTTTAAAATTTGGGCGATTTTAAATTGAACAACTAAAAAAATTTTAAACATTTTTTTAGTGTTGGTGGAGACATTTAAATGCCAATTTTTACAAATAATAAAGCATAGGTATAACTTCTATCATCCTATAGGAAATAACTTACTAAACTAACTAAATTGAGAAGCCCTGTGATGTATTTTATCACTACCTTCCTGCCAGTGCTTGGCCTCCACGCCAGTGCTGGCCTCGCCTGCCAGTGCTGGCCTCGCCTTTGATTGTGTTTAAAAACAGTACAAGAGTAGTGTAGTGTTGTGTGACATTTTCCAGTTATCAAAAGTAAGAGGGTAGTTGTAGCATTTTAAGAATTGTTCAGTTATCAGAAGTACAATGTCGCATTGAATGAATTGTTCTAATTTGTTTAAGATCCAAACTGTTTACAATCAAAATATGAAGTTTTTATCAGAATATGAAACAACGTCGCAGCATTAACTATCATTTGGCTCTCATTAAGCAAGCATAACCCTGCTCCCATTACCCCACTATTATGGCATTACAAGACTGTCCTATCAATGGTTAACCCAGATTTTTGTTCACCATGTTAAATTTAACAGGTCAGAATAGATTGTGAATTGTGGTCATTCTGATAGTAAGAAAACGTTGTTTTAGTGAAAGCGGGTGTTCACATTTCTGGAAAATGTGTATCTTATTTGATGAGACCAGGGACAAAAAAAACTGTTCTCTTTTTATAGACACTGTTTTTTAAATCTAAAGGATTTTTAATTTATTTTTGGCCATTTGCCCAAAAATGAAATGGTGTTAGCCAGAAACAGATGCTTTCGAATAAAATCAATTTGTTTGCATGCAGGATGTGATGTTAAAACAAATTGGAATACTAGAAACCCTATATTCAAATAGTCCTCTGGGTCTGTGGATGTCACAGGAAATCTAGTGGTGGATTGCAAGGCAAGTGTTTTTGGCGTAAGAACACTCAATGTTACAGAGGCAAGTCAGGCTTTGTACTAATTTCATAGTTATTTCAACTCAAGTTTTATTATTTCAACTCAAGTTTTATTTCATAAATATTTAAATGATATCCCCACAAAAAAGTGGTGGCGTAAATAAGAACAAAAATATATGAATAATTTTTGAATTGCCACAAATGTGTATTTTGATCAACTTAAAACTGTTTGATCTCCCAGTGTACAGACCATTGACACAATTTAACCTTTAAAAAATGTAAAGGCTTCAGAAAAGAAATAGTGAAAAAATCATTGAATTGCTTACATCGCCAAACACTTGCCTTAATTTCTTCCAACATTGTCACCTTGTCACTTCCCAGTGTTCCTGCTATAGTCCAGGTCTGTGATCAATCTTTATGTGGTTAGTTGTGAAAGTGTGTGTATGTGTGTATTATGCCACTTTTGCACAAAGTGAATGGTCTGTATAAAGCACATCAATTTATGTACATACAAAATGACATGTAAGGTAATTAAAACTTATTATCTAAACAACATGGAGTTTTTGTGTTGTTACACTATTATGTTAATAGGTCCATTAAATAGATAGATCCATTGTGGTAATTATATCTTGGAGTGCATGAGAAGTACATACAAATTCTTTGCAGTTTGAGATAATTTGAAGATTATAAAGATAAATCAAAATCCAATAACATTACATTTACTCCTCTTGTACAAATAAAGAAAAACATGAGTGATCATTGTATGCAAATTAATTTATTCAATTATGTATACATCTATGTTTATGTCAAGGATAACCCATAAGTTCAACAAGAGATTCTTAAACAACATAACTACATCACTGCAACAACTAACAGCACACATATTTTGATACATAACTTTCTCAGAAATATAGAATCATGCAGAATGTAACATTGTGAAGCAGTGGCAATAGGAATCTCTGCACTGAGCTTTCCCCCCCCCCCCACCCCCCCCCCCCCCCCCCCCGGAGGTTAACTAAAGTAATACATCTCGGAATTGGCAGTCCATCAGTAATTAGTGTCTCTTGCAAAGCTTAGAAACAATATATTATCTACTTAACTTTCCTTATACTTATAATTATACGATACACAAACTTATTTATAAACGACACACATTTTTTAACTTTAAAATGCATAAAACACTGAATATATGCAGCAACATGTATACAGCAGGCACCAATTTTTGTAATCTCATGTCTACAGAAATTTGAGTGCAACTTTTATATATATAACAAGTTCTACACTTGCCATCACCACCTTTTTTCTAGGAAGGTTTTCTCTGAAATTGTGTTCTTTGCAGTTGCCATTTTTATGAGCAAAAACAAAAACGGTCAAATTCATTCAAAATCAAATCACTTATTTTATTATCTGCACAAACAACACAGCCACACTAATCGGAGAACACTGCATCACAGAACTGAATTCACAGTGTCACCTAAATATCCACATAATCAACAAAGGACACACTTAAGTGTGAAAAGACAACTCTTGTGAGACTACTGACATTGTCAGTGTCAAGCTAAAAACCATACATAATCTGACTGGCTACATCTAATGTGTGATTTATGATTTTGTTCGCCCTGTGAAATTGATTCTTATATCCGAACTACATTTTGATTCTATAAAATAACCAGTGATCACAATAATATGTGCCGACTGTACTATTATTTGACAATTATTTTTAACTGTTTTATCCATTCTAAATTCCCTTAAAAAGGCCATCAGCCTCTGACGGGAAATCATTCTCTTGTGATAACAATCATAGTCTTAATCTCCAAGGATGGGCCAATAAGTGGGAGCATTTTAATTGGGTTTACTGGTATGTATAATGAAGTCTGACCTATTTACAAATAATGGTATATACAAATAACAATGCAAGCAAACAATTTCTTCATTACATTTTTCAAGTCATCAAAGCAACAAGTGCAATAACAAATGTGGTTTCCAAATACCTCTAAACAACAAAGATATGGGACAGCAGTAACCATTGATTCAATGACAACTGTAGCAACAAACATATGGGACAGCAGTCACCATTGATTCAATGACAACTGTAGCAACAAACATATGGGACAGCAGTCACCATTGATTCAATGACAACTGTAGCAACAAACTTATGGGACAGCAGTAACCATTGATGCAATGACAAGACTTTATTATCTTCAAAAGCATGTTACATTTTGGTAGTGTTTGATATTAAGAGAGTTATTGTTTTTAGAATCACATGCAGTGGAGTTTCCTGGTAAATTTGCTCTCTAGTTCAATCAGGTTGTTCCGGTTGTTATGGCTGATCCAGTTTTGGTCACATCTGCTCTGATAGCATTGATGACATCTTGGTTTATCAAAAATGTGAATCTCAAACAAGAGATCTGAAAATATAAAATCATAATCATTACTCTAAGAACGCAAAAAGAGTTTTGATAACAAAGACTTGAATCGCTGGCCAAATCAAGGTTAACTTGCTAAATTAAGCACACAAAAATTTATTTTTTTTCAATTAATATTTTCCTATAAGATGTATATATATATATACATATAAATATACATCAAATCAAATGCTTCTGAAATCATTTTTTCAATAAATTCCTTTATTCAGTTGTGATCCATAATTCATATGAATAATTTTAGTTCCATAAGAAGGAACTATAAACAAGGTTTGGCTAATTTAACAGGTACATGAGGAGTAATAATCAAGATCAAAATTCAAATATATGAGATAAATTCTCTTTTTTTGTTGTTGCAAATTATCAAATCTTGATTTGTATAACATTGAAGCATCTGGCCTAAGCACTACCATTTCTAACAAATGATACAAAATCTAGAAGATGAATCAAGCCAGATTTGAAACACCAGATTTTTTCTAGTTTGTTCTCCACATATGTTGATGAGTAACTGTGGATAACAAGCATCTGGTTTTGAGGTCTTTGACAACCGATTTGATTGATGTTAATATTTTTACACCCCCCCCCCCCTATATCATTTCCCCCAGACTTGCCGAGACAGATGTAACCGCATCCTTATAGTTTCTTAACCATCTCTTTGAGGTCTTTTACAACCGATTTGATTGATGTTAATATTTTTACACCCCCCCCCCCCTATATCATTTCCCCCAGACTTGCCGAGACAGATGTAACCGCATCCTTATAGTTTCTTAACCATCTCATCTTATTTTACCTCTACTACAGAGTTATTGTTTAACTTCTGCTTGTTTCCCGCCATGACTGGCCTCCCATCCACTAGAATCGGCCTCTTGCCCTCATTCGCAATGAAAAAGTCTCCGCTGTTCCTGTAAGATATTTAATACAAAGAGTTTATTAATAAAATATTTACCACAATAAAAAAACCCATGACCACATAATCTGAAATGATCTATCTGTACAATCAATGGATTGAATTATCAGCTACTTTCACTAAAGGAGATATTTAAGAATAAATATTGAGACATATGTCAACAATTCTGATTTTTATAAAGATTTTATATTTGATCTTGTGTCAGAGAAATATTCATGATGCCAACGATTTGTGAAACTTAGATTTTACATTTAAGCCTGACAGCTGCCTTTGTCCAACACAAAACACCAGCCACGTTTTGGCCCTTCAGATATTAACCAAATCTATTTGATTCATCTGAAACTTTGTTCAATGCCAATTAATTATCTCAGCATAGAAGATAAAGGTTATAGTAACTTATCGTTTGTTCAGTGTTGCACTGACCTGAGTTTAATGATGCCCTGACGTCTAGAAACTTTCCAAGCTGGTCCTTCCAGGGATAAATCTACATCAACATGATTATCTTTGGTTGACCTTCCCAGAGAAATCTGGCCAAATAAAAGAAACTTTTACAATGAATTTCTAATATAATACATTATTCCATTTTAACATGACAAATTTACTTTAACACTCTATATCCACACAACTCATACAGTAATAAAACACCTATCCTAAGATGAAGCATCAGGTTAAAAAGACAAACTCAATAACTTTGTCAAGACTGACAAAATTTATTAAACTTTGTTAATTTAACTACAGGCTTCTGTATTACCACTATCACAGCAAGTACCGGTGTATTTAATCACTGAATTATCTCTAATTACATCTAAGCTGCTATCAAATTTATGATCTAAGTCCATTTTTTAGAAAATTGCTATGAAAAACTACACATCTAACTTTCAAAAATCTATTTTTATATAAATATTTTGGTTTATACATTTAGGAAACGTGCTAAAATGTGTGTGGAGCAAAGCATAGAGTATTTATGAATTTATCTAGTTGCTATGTCATATAGAAGCTGATCTATGCCGTGTGAATGATTTAATGGTTAAAATCAGTTAATGCAAAGGTTAAAATCAGTTGATGCAAAGGTTAAAATCAATTGATGTAATGGTTAAAATCCGTTGATGCAAAGGTTAAAATTGGTTGATGCAAAGGTTAAAATCGGTTGATGCAAAGGTTAAAATCAGTTGATGCAAAGGTTAAAATCGGTTGATGTAATGGTTAAAATCATTTGAAACTGATCAGCGTCATGTGGATATAAAGTGTTAACAAAGGCTAAAGATAAAGCTACTCCAGTGTAAAGTGTTAACAAAGGCTAAAGATAAAGCTACTCCAGTGTAAAGTGTTAACAAAGGCTAAAGATAAAGCTACTCCAGTGTAAAGTGTTAACAAAGGCTAAAGATAAAGCTACTCCAGTGTAAAGTGTTAACAAAGGCTAAATATAAAGCTACTCCAGTGTAAAGTGTTAACAAAGGCTAAAGATAAAGCTACTCCAGTGTAAAGTGTTAACAAAGGCTAAAGATAAAGCTACTCCAGTTTTATATGCTGGATTAAGAAAACCAAAATACAAAAGCTCAGAAACAAAATACTATGCAGATAATACACTCACCTCTCTTGATCTCATCAGGTACCTCACCAGTCGACCTCTGAGAACCCCAAGAGTTTGGCTGTCAAAGTCTGGCATGCTGATGCCTGGAACAGATGAAATAAATAATTGTCATAGAGATGTATCTCTGTCTCTCTCCCTATATTATATCTTCTCATCACTGTCTTCATTTCTTGGAATCTGTTTAGTAACACATCGCCTCTCCCACTGCCCAGCACTTCTGGATTTACACATTAATTACCAACCAAAAATACCAGACTACACCAACACCCTTTATACAAACAGCTGCAGAGATTGTGCATATTCTTGCTCATGGCCCCAGACCAAAGGGCACAAGCCAAAATGGTTACTGGATCTGAATGATGATGTACAATAAGTAACAAACTCCAAACACTTAATTTGGAAGACAACAGTCAAGTTAACCTGGGCTTATATCTGGTGTTAATGCCTTCATGCCATCCAGACAGTCAAGTTAACCTGGTTTTATATCTGATGTTAATGCCTTAATGCCTCAAGACAGTCAAGTTAACCTGGGCTTATATCTGATGTTAATGCCTTAATGCCTCAAGACAGTCAAGAAAAAATAAAGGAAATTACTACAGGATTTTTAAAAAATTTTCTAACACCAATTGTATTAAACTGTTTTTTCCACATGTAGATCTTTCTGATGTCACATTAGCTAAACAAAAATTGTAATCAACAAATAAGACACAACAAAAAAAAAACTGACCCGTGACACTGTCCACTAAGACTTGCCACTTTGGTATTTCCTGCTCCAAATGACGGATTTCCCTTTTGTTCCTCCTGTCCACTAGGGACAATTCTGTGGGGAAATAATAGTTGAGTTAACATGTGGCTGATTAAATTCAGCTCAGCTCTGGGTGAAAATGTTAAACTCAAGGATTTAAAGCTGAACAAAATATGCAAATAAAATATTCAAATGTATTTCTTATAATTAAATAATAATCTTCATAAGTTCGAACAGTTTAATTCTATTTATAGTTCAACAAGTAATTCTATCGGACACTCATGAAATATTGAGTGTGCCGTGTACTTGATGCTATGCACTTTCAGTACCATATTTATATTGTATTTAAAAAAAGGATTCACAAAAACCTACCTTGTTCAATAATGTCATCTTGACCTTCACTGGGGAAAAAAGGAGTTGAACATATTAAGTTATGAACAATTCAAAGACAGTAAATTTATAAAATCAAAAATCATTATGAAAAAATTCAAAAACATCAAATTTATAAAATCCAAAAATCATAAAAACATCTATGCAGAAATAAAAAATTTCATGCCCATTCTTATTCTTTTCCTTCATTTTTAGGTAGGATACCAATATATTGATAAATATATATATATATTATGTTCATTTATACTTTATGAATGCTTTTTGTTGTACTCAAAAAAGGCATTTGCCGAAACTTTGGCATTTGTATTCTGTGTAACCATAATTAAAGCTTAACCTTTGTTGTTTTATGGACACAAATTGTCTGTGTCTCATTAATCTACGGTAGTTGAAAGCTTTATCCCAGTCCAACACTCTTATCAAGAAAGCAGAAACCCTTGACAATTTTTTTTTGAAAGAAAGGGAGTCAACTTACGTGATGTCATCATCATTCATAAAATCTTCAATGTCCGACAAGTTGAGGATGTGATCTCCCCTTGGCATGGGTTGCACAGTTTGGTCAGGGAGAAGGTGGTACTGTTTCATCAACAGCCAGTGAGACTGTAGGGTCTTGGCCGTGCGGGCCGGGTGGAAGACATCGGGGTGTTGTTGGAGAAGGGTCTGGAAGCTCTCAACAGTGGGTTGGCTGGTCTGATGGGTGGTGGTAAAGATCACATCAATTTATGCAAAAATATGGACTTTATTTGTTGGATGATATGTTTTGTTGAGCATTGGCATGAATTCTACAATATACCATCTACAATGTGAAGAAAGCAAATTAAAATCAGAAACAGTAGGTAATAGAAGAAACAGATTGCTGAGTCCATGATAAAAATACAAAATGTAGACCTAAGAATCTATTAACAAATAAAGATAGAACATAAGATTCCCTCATAAATACACTTAAGAAAAATCAACCAAATTGTTTTTTTTATGCTCTACAAAAATTATGTTGACATCCTGGCCATGGTCATCATTGGGAGCTTCCATGTTTTACCATTCTATTTAAGTTACTTATTATTTTATCATAAATTTTCCCATTCTCTGTATGCTACATATTTTATCATCTCCCTAATTTCTGACTGAAAGTCAGTGAACAGAAGTTAGAACTAATTAATTACTCATAGAGATTCAAGACTGATGCACTCGACTCAGGAACCATAAGTCTCACATTCAATGGAAATAAAAATTTAAAATATTATGAATGGTACAATTTTCTGCATCGTTAAGTCTATTAAGTCAGCAGTTAAAAATGTGCCTTCCATTTTTTCTCACCCAACAATCTAGGATAAAACTATACTATCATTGTTGGAAAGCTGGAAAAATTCAAATGCATGTTTTCATAAATTTAAATGAATTTATATTCCATCCAGAAGTTTGTATTTTAAATAAATTATAACGGGACTATTTATATAAATTATAACGGAATATTTAAATAAATTATAACGGAACTATTTAAATAAATTATAACGGAATATTTAAATAAATTATAACGGAACTATTTAAATAAATTAAAGCGGAACTATTTAAATAAATTATAACGGAACTATGTAAATAAATTATAACAGAACTATTATAATTAAAACTTATTGTCAGATATTTACAGAAGCAAATGTTCCCAAAAGTTTCTCTTCTGCATTACTGTATAGGGCTTTTCCTTGAATGGTGGCAACTGCTTCCTGGTGCAGTTGTCTGGCGGCCTCCATGGCCAGTCTAAAATTCAAACAAAAATGTTGTCATAAAAAATACCAAACCCTGTGAATGAAAATGGCAGTTACTGACACATGAACATGGCAGTTAATGACACACTGCTCTTCGTAGAGCAGTTACTGACACACTGCTCTTGGTATAGCAGTTGATGACACACTGCTCTTGGTACAGCAGTTACTGACACACTGCTCTTGGTACAGCAGTCACTGACACACTGCTCTTGGTACAGCAGTTAATGACACACTGCTCTTGGTACAGCAGTTACTGACACACTGCTCTTGGTACAGCTGTTACTGACACACTGCTCTTGGTGCAGCTGTTACTGACACACTCCTCTTGATCATATAAATTAAAATTTTTAAAAATGCATGTTCTGTATAAAAAAAATGTTCTAAACATTTCACTATAACAAGATATGTCCCACATTTTACACATTATAATTCAAAAACAATATCAACTCTCATTGTATTGATTTCCAAAAGTGATGCTATTTTAGGATAGACTTTCCATCTTCTACTTTTATGTGCTGTAGCAAATAAATCATTTACTCTTTAATGGGGGGGGGGGGGTGTGTGAGAACTTATCATTCACTTACTTTGATATGGCTGGGTCATAAAGTAAAGCGTACCATCTCTCTTCAATTTCCTTGAGTGTAAACCGGCAAGAAAACTTGACCCCAGTGTGGACAGCGCCCAAGTCATTAGTCTGTTGTCGAAAACAAATCTACTCTCTAATTATAACAGAATATAATAAAATATACTCTTTATTGGAATGTTCAAATTTTTTTAAAACAGAGCAGCTTGCCCATGGTTGCCGCCTACTTTTACCAATTTGGGTTGGTTTCAAAATGATGTTTACTGTTTCTAAACTCAATTCCAGTAATTTAAGTAGGGTTAATTAAAACAGATACAATAATAGAGTTTTACAAATAAAATGTATACTCTTTCTCTGAATAATTTCTTTCCTCTCAATTCATGGTGTGACGTCATCCGATCCATGTTTACTTAGCCAAACCATGACAACCCTCCAATGATATGAAAGCGGAAATGATGTTCACGAACCCATTATGCTCTTTTCTCTCCGAAAATAATTATTTTATTCCTTCGTGATCTTACCTAATATTACTTTTAATTTATTTATGTACACATAAATACAGAAAAATATTCAGCAGAAGTAATCAACTTCCCTGGACGTAGATGACCCATTTAAGTATGTGTGCAGAGTCGTGTGCAGAGTCTGAACCAAAAATAACATTGAGATATGTGCATTTAAAAATGTCCAACATGGACAATTTATTTGTTTCCACGAATTGTGTCAAATAACAGAATAAAATATTTATTTCCAGCAATGACACAAATAACAAGAAGAGTCCACGAACCTGCTGCACTGCTGTAATAAGAGCAAGATCATCCTGAGGTTTCCAGCGGCCCAGATCTTTCACAGCCGGCGTTGATGTCTTCTGTTTCCTTGACCTTTTTGACTTTGTCTGAGGGCAGAAATAATATTATAAATAACAGAGTCTTGAAGGAAGCACATGATTGAAAATCACAAAGTTATCACACGATGTTGAAGATCTTCAATGATAAACTGTCTGACATGTAAACATATAAAGATTGCAGCTCACATTGTTTTCCATTACACATCAACTTGTTAAATAACTTCTGAATAGTTTTAAAGGCTTGTTTAGATTGCCTAAGTTAGCCATTTGCAACAAGAGATTTGTCTTTTACTTTAATAAAAAGAGGGGCTTCAATTAACTTATTAATAAATAGTTGTAACTTGATAATGATCATGCAAAGATTACTTGAAATCAGCAAAAGTTATAGAAAGATGACAATTACAATGGAAGGTGATTAATGAAAGCTCTTCATCATCATTCAGTTCCAGGACATATTTGGGTACGTGCCCTTCGCCCATGGTCAAGTGGTCAAGAACTTACACACTATCTTCATCTGTTATCCCGTACTGCCACGACTCTCTTCTTAGATTTCGTGGCTCAATTTTATTATGTACAGATATTTCACATAGAGCTTTTCGAGCATATCTTAAACCTCCCGAGAAGAAGTGAACTGTCCGGCTTTATACTTTTTCTAAAGTCCTGTACTGTCTTGCTGCAAGTTGACTGCAGAACAAAGCTGTATTCCATTATGATCATATATATCCTTCGTACAAGTGCCAGGGTCATGTCACTGACCCAACTGGCCAGCAAATCTTTGTAAAAGCTCTGTCATCTGTTTAAATTTTCTTTTAAATTTGAAGATATTTTTTTTAGATTCAGTTGCCTATCTAACTGAAAACCTAGATACCTTGGGTTGTCTTCTCTTTGAAGTATGTTACCTTGTAAGGATAGTGAGATGTTCTGTTTGGTCACCTTATGTCTTTTAGCGCAGACTGAATATACTACCTTAATATTGTTTATCTTCAGTTTCCTCTATTCACAGTATGTATTGAGCCTGATCAGGTCTTGATTAAGACGTCTTGCACTTATAGTAGTGTGTATGCAGGTATGCGACACTACAAGGTCATTTGAGTAAAATGCCTTCTCCACCTGCAACTCGCCTGGGAGGTCATTGGTGAACATAAGGAAAATGATACAACTCAATGAAGAGCCTTGTGGCAGCCATTCTTCCAGAATACTCTTTGATGAGGTGGATTTTAATTTTTGGACAGTACAATCAGTAAGAAAGTACCACCTCTACAGCTTCTCATGAATCACTGCATTATTCAACCTCCAGGGTAAGCCTGAATGACACACTATCATAAGCCTGCTGAAGGTTGACAAGAAATGCTCTAGTGAGTTTTATGTCTGCGAAACCACTAAGAATCCTTGGCTCAGACTGAAGAGTTGATCATCAGTACAAGTCCACCTTTGGCTCGGACTGAAGAGTTGATCATCAATACAGTGTCCACCTTCGGCTCAGTCTGAAGAGTTGATCATCAGTACAATGTCCACCTTTGGCTCAGTCTGAAGAGTTGATCATCAGTACAATGTCCACCTTTGGCTCAGTCTGAAGAGTTGATCATCAGTACAGTGTCCACCTTCGGCTCAGACTGAAGAGTTGATCATCAGTACAATGTCCACCTTTGGCTCAGTCTGAAGAGTTGATCTTCAGTACAAGTCCACCTTTGGCTCAGACTGAAGAGTTGATCATCAGTACAAGTCCACCTTTGGCTCAGACTGAAGAGTTGATCATCAGTACAAGTCCACCTTTGGCTCAGACTGAAGAGTTGATCATCAGTACAAGTCCACCTTTGGCTCAGTCTGAAGAGTTGATCATCAGTACAGTGTCCACCTTTGGCTCAGACTGAAGAGTTGATCATCAGTACAATGTCCACCTTCGGCTCAGTCTGAAGAGTTGATCATCAGTACAGTGTCCACCTTCGGCTCAGTCTGAAGAGTTGATCATCAGTACAGTGTCCACCTTCGGCTCAGTCTGAAGAGTTGATCATCAGTACAATGTCCACCTTTGGCTCAGACTGAAGAGTTGATCATCAGTACAAGTCCACCTTTGGCTCAGACTGAAGAGTTGATCATCAGTACAAGTCCACCTTCGGCTCAGTCTGAAGAGTTGATCATCAGTACAAGTCCACCTTTGGCTCAGTCTGAAGAGTTGATCATCAGTACAGTGTCCACCTTCGGCTCAGTCTGAAGAGTTGATCATCAGTACAATGTCCACCTTTGGCTCAGTCTGAAGAGTTGATCATCAGTACAAGTCCACCTTCGGCTCAGTCTGAAGAGTTGATCATCAGTACAATGTCCACCTTTGGCTCAGACTGAAGAGTTGATCATCAGTACAATGTCCACCTTTGGCTCAGTCTGAAGAGTTGATCATCAGTACAAGTCCACCTTCGGCTCAGTCTGAAGAGTTGATCATCAGTACAATGTCCACCTTCGGCTCAGTCTGAAGAGTTGATCATCAGTACAATGTCCACCTTTGGCTCAGTCTGAAGAATTGATCATCAGTACAAGTCCACCTTCGGCTCAGTCTGAAGAGTTGATCATCAGTACAATGTCCACCTTCGGCTCAGTCTGAAGAGTTGATCATCAGTACAATGTCCAGCTCTGAAGGCAGCTTGGTGTTCATTGAGGGTGTTGGTTGTTTGTAGTCACCAATCAAGATGATTGTAGATCATGCTTTATGTAAGTTTTACAATGCAGGAGGTCAGGGATATTGGTCTATAGCTCTTGTGGAAAGAGAATGGAGAGTCACATCACAGGCATATGACCATAGTAAGTCTGAAGAGAAGATGATTAGGTCATGTGTACTGAGTGTGTTTTGAGCTCTGTGGAGAAGAGTGGGTGTCAACTGTTCTGTAAAGTGAATAGGTTTGTAGAGTTAGAATTCTTCTATTGCCTTTTACAGTGTACTTGTAATTCTGGTATCCCCCTTGAGGAGCATGACCATTTAAATTCCCAGCGACCGCAGTCTTCGAGTATATGTGCAGAGATCAGGCAGTTTGAAATGTTGTATCACATGTTCGTGGACGATACACAACTTCATCAATCCGTGATACCTTCTCAGTTCCCTCAGCTGCTCAGTATGACACAGAAGACAATGGAGTCGGTTAATCACTGGATGACCATTAACAAGCTCAAATTAAATGATGATAAGACTGAGCTGCTCCCCATTGCGACCGCTCAGAAGCATAAATCTGCAAATAACACAACATCCATTACTCTCTCAGGTGTGCCTATTGAGTTAGCTCAAACAGTGCGGTACTTGGGTGTCTACCTAGATAGAAGACAAACTTTTGAAAGTCATATTAACATGCTATGCAAGGCGATTTTCTGGAGCTGCGCAGGATTAGTCACATCAGGCCCTTCCTAACAATTGATACAACAAAGAGGTTGATGTCTGCATTTGTGCTATCACGCATGGACTATTGCAATGCTCTCATGGTGGGTCTTCCAGCTACGCTCCTTGGAAATAATGCGGCTCGCATTGTTCTCCGCAAACGCAAGTTCGACTATGCAAAAACACTTCTGAGAGAGTTGCATTGGCTGCCAGTGCGTGCTCGCATAGAGTACAAAATCGCAACTTTGTGCTACCGCTGCTTACATGACCTGGCGCCATCCTATCTGAAAGAGCTGCTGACGCCTTATGTACCCACTAGAGAGCTCCGCTCATCCGATAGTGGCAAACTCTCTACACCACTTGTTTGCCTTGAGACTTACGGAAAGCGCACTTTCGCATTTGCTGGTCCAACAATTTGGAACGCCCTTCGTGTCGATCTCAGAAACAACCAGACACTGTAGTCCTTTAAAACCGATCTAAAGACACATCTATTTCGCAAACACCTTCTGGGATGATTGTCTACCTTATTTTCGAGTTAATGCATAATGTCTGTGTTGCTCCGGGTTGAAATGGCTAGAAAGACTTTGATATTATATGCTTGTAATTAGTTTTTGTAGTGTTGCGTTTGTTTTAAATGTGGTAAATTATAGATTTGTTTTTTGTTGACTTTGTACCGCGCTTCGAGCCTTTGGGGATGAAGCGTGTTTTTGAAATGAACTTTATTATTATTATTATTATGTGTTCTCTAGGTGAAGTTGCAGCTATTTACTGGTGGGAGTGTATGAAACAAAAGGACTAAGTGGTAAATGTATATAAATATAAACCTTGGATTTTGAGTGGCCAGATTTTGTGATGCCAGTCTTTGACTTTGTACCAGCAGATTTCCCTCCGACTGATTTGGATGAAGCCACTTTCCCTCCTGCACCTTTTGATGAAATTTGAGATTTTCCTGAGCTGGGTTTGCTGCGTTTATCAGGCGGCCGAGCCAATGTGGCAACATCCACGTGACGAACTACTTCCTTTGTTTCTTCAACTGAAATGAAATTATACATCCAATAAACAAACTTGAAAAATATTTTATAGTTATTATTACAATTATTTAGATATTTTTAAAATTTATGGTTAAACTTTATATAAATATTATTACAATTATTTTGATATTTTTAAAATTACTTATGTTCTAATGTGAAATGAAATTACCCGTAAATTATGCATTTACACCTTTTCCCCAACTTAACATTAAGCGTTTAATTTATTATTTCTATATATTATTCCATTCCACAGCCAATTCATGTTAATTATGTTAATTATGTTAATTTAACTTAAACAGTTACTGTGTTATCTTAATGTCAGCCTACCTTGAACTTTGTGCTGGCCTTGTATTTGTGTCACAGCTGTCAAGGTTGTAGATGTTACCGCTGCAGCAGGACTAGGCACTGAAGTTGGGGTCTGGCCTCCGACCAGTGACCCGGAAAGTAGAACTTCAGTCACAGCAGTTGTGGGCGAGAGTCCAACTGTTGAGTGAGACTGCACATAGTGGCCAGCAGGCGTAAGTGGTGTTGGGGTGGTTGCAGAAGTTATTGCAGTTTTCATACGTCCACGTTCAGTCTTGACTAAACTGCTCTCAACCAGCTCATCATCAAATTTTTTTCTCTTGATTGACCGTGTGGAGCTACGTCGTGCCGGAATAACCGAGCTAAAGAAAAGAAAGCAACATGAAAGTTATCAAAGTAAGATTGGACAAATTTGTTTATTTTTGGACTGCATATAATTTTTTATCTTCCGATACAAATTTAAGGAATTTTGTATCTGAATTATGAGAAAGAAATGGCAAATAAATCATTGATAAAATTCAATATTAATTACTTAGAAATTGTTATGTAGGACGTGCTTACGTCACACTTTCCCCGTGCCGTGAACTCTGGTTGACCCCACATTAGACGGCGCTCTTATTGGGCGTGGCCTATTTCCTTTCATCTTAGCCGTTGTTTTCCACAACTATCAACTAAAAATAACTAATATATTCTAATAGAATTTGGGGGAAACTTCGATAATTGACTAGAAAGACAAACAATGTAGAAGACATTTCCAGAAGATTTGAATCTACCGACGCATAGTTAAAAAAGGGGATTCAGAGATTCATCGGGAGAGATTCAGATAGATATTTTCAACTTCACGAGACAAATTAAATGTATTATTCTTTGTGTACTCATGTGTTTCTTTGCATTCCTCATTTGTACATTATTAATTGGCACATTGTAATAACTGTGTACCGGTACAAGATCTACCATACTCTGTAAGCTGATGATTTGTAATTATATTTCTTTTTTTTGTAACTATATTAATACTTAAATAAATCTTTTTAATTGTAATCAGTTTTGTTTTGAGTGTCGTATTTTTGCTATTGTATTTCTCTATGGTATGGCCTTTGTTATACACTGTTTGAACGAGCCATAAAATTAAAATAAGAAATTAATTTCTCACTATAGAAGGCAGTGCGTAACAGAAATAATAGCAGCAGTAACTGATGACATATACATAAGACATACCCTGGGTCCACTGACGGCATTCGTCTTGAGCGAACACTTCCGTGACTTTTGGGTGCAGCCATTGCACTCCCACCAATACAATATGCTCCATCAGAGCCAGCGCATGATAATGGTGAATTTTCTGAAAAACTTGATGCCATATCATCTTCTTTCGTAATGTCTGAATCTATTTCCATTTTTCACAAAAACCCAAACGCCTCGACGGCAGGCTCCACTAACAGATCCTTTTTAATTACTTTTAAAAATCTTTAGTTGTCCTAGCCAATAATAGTAATAAAGTAGGCCTTGATTCTCAAATCAATTCTATGAATTTTCATGTTGTCATACACTCTATTGGGCACATTGCACTGATTTTTGGTAAAATTTGCACTGATTTTTGGTAAAATTTATCTGTTTGTGAAATAAAACGTTTAAATTTTCAGAACAGGGCTATAAAAAACATTCATATAGTTATATACATAAACTATATTATATTTAAATATAACATATACTACTTTATGATATTATACTTTAACTATAATCGAAAATAAGACATTCTTGACCAAACTTGAACATAATCGCTTAGTAGGCCAATACATATTATTTACAAAGTTTCACAGATAATTCTAGAAGTATTTACGATTTTAAAATATATTCCATACTTTAAAAGCAGTTATTACTTTAAATTTTAATGGAAATTAACCATAAATTACACTGCTCGTATGTGTACATAAACAAAGCTTTTCACAATTTGATCACACTAATTGCCGAAATAATTCATGAATATAGCTTAACGTTAAAAAAAAAAATCTCTTCTCTATTGTTTAAATGGCATAGGAATAGTAAGAAAGATTTTTATTTAATTTTTTGTTTTTGTTTTTAAAACGACATCAAGCAGCGTAAATAAGATAAACATTGATTTTTTTTTTTAATTTTAGATATGAACTATTACGGCTTCAACATATAAATACTTTTCCATTACCGTTTTAAGTTCAAGAAAATAGAGAATTATAGGCTACTTAAAAATGGTTCTCCAGCTAAAATTTTTAAATAAATCTGACATACACAAGCAACATACCATTCTTCTGCTGTCCTCTCGGATACTAATTCTTAGCTAAGTGCTATTTTAAAAATTGTATTCTGTTTTTTCTATTGTTTGTTCGCTGACGAAGGTTTCCTGCCGACACGTTCGTTGTTTTGATGCGTTCCTTTTTTTCAGGTTTGACCTTACTTTGTTTTACTCATTCCCTATTAGTAAACTGGAATTATTATTGAGTAGGCTGCAGAAACACTTTACATTTCATTGCAAGTTTGTTTTTTCTTGTTTTTTAAATAAGATTTTGGTGAAATTGAACACCATATTTCGCTATCGTTTATTGATTAAAATACCAGTATATTTTGAAACTTTTTTATCTACTTCATCTATCCGCTTGTATCAGGAAGACGTCATGGGCCTGTTCAATGATAACTAATTATTAAAGGTGCAGGGTCATGTAAAACTGATCGTCTTTATTGTTAAAACACATTCCCGATACTGTTAGGAACATTTCAAAAAGGTGCCATCCATAAATGACGTCACGCGCCTAAGAAGGGGTGGGGGGGGTGTCAGATGTTTGTGACGGTGTGTGAGGAGTGGAAGAGGGGATCAAGGAATGTGACGTCACATGAAAAGTGGAATATTGGAGTAAATATTTGCACTTTATAACACTAAATTACAGCCCTTTTTAACATTATTCTTTTATAGAATTATCGGCAATCCTCCGAAGTCCGGTCCCAAATTATTTCGTATGAAAAAAATTGCAATGCACAGTGTATATTGTTAGAAAACAGCAGAAATGTCAGTCATAGCTTTTGCAAATAACTGTCACTTTACAAACCATTCAGTAAACACTAAATGTTGTCATTGGCGCATAGCATTTGCAAATAGCAGCCGGAAACGTTCTGCTTGTGACTGTTGCGCCATTGAAAGGCCCCCCAAGTAGCTGGCAAACAGACTGCGACTAGTACCACTCTGATAGCGGAGTTTACGTTTCCCTTGCATCCAAAGTCCTTCAATAATTTATGTGTGAATGTCCTGGTCTACAGGGTCAACAAATTCATGCGCGTGCACAATGACAGCGTGAGCATAAATCCCGTTGTTGAGCTGAGCGACATTTTGATACCCTCGCCAAGCGTCCGTGACGATAGTTGTCCCTGGTAACACATGATTAGTGATAATGCGCTCGAGTGTTTGTGCATCTCGACGGCCGACTACCTCCATCCAACATCGTCCACTAACGCAAACATGAATTTCAAAACAGAATGATGCCCAAGACTTTTAAGTAAGGAGTAATCATTTGATTTTAAACTATATCACTGAGAGAATCAGTACAGGCAGGGCCGGCGCTAGGGATGGCGAAGTGGGCGACCGCACGTTGCCGTAGTATATTTAGAATATACCTCAGCCTGCTAATAGTTCCTAATCCAGTCAACACAATATTCGGAGTTATTAGCTAGTCAAATGGTCTGAAGGTCAGTCTGGCTACCGTTATGACGCGTCCCGTTACCCATTATGACCAGCACGGCCCCAGTACGACTATAACGTGTCTTAATATCCTATTGGCGAATATATAACGTCAACGGCCCCACAAAAGTCAATTTTCCCAAGGCCCCGCACCCTCCTAGCGCCGGCCCTGAGTACAGGTATGTGCAGTCCGAAGAACGGCCTCTGATCAAGTTTTCAGGACGCCAAGGAGGAGGGAGTCGGAGTGTAGTTACAATGACAGTCGTGAGAATTTATTGCTAAATGTGGACGGGGGGAAAGGGATGGAGCGGAATAAAAGGGTTGACCGCGGGCTGGGGGTTATCTTAGTAAATGCTCTAGGGCAGGGATTCTTCACCCTTTTTTGCAGTGTTGCAGGCCCACTCCGTTTTAAACATCCCTCCCCCAACCGTATAAATTATATTGTAATAAATTTTTATATTAAAATACCATCAAAGCCCATTATGTACCCCTTCCCCCACCCCCAATTTGTATGACGTCATGAGACATCCGTTCCCTCCGCCTCTTCCCCTTTAGCTATGCAATCGGTTCAAACTAAAACTTACAAGCAGGGCTGGCCCGCCCTACGGTTGCTGGCGCCCCGGGCAAGCTTGACTTTGGCGCGCCTTTTAAATATAATCATAACATTTTGGCAAGGAAAAATCTAGGGGTTGATTGCTTAGGTTGCTTTTTTAACGAACAGATCAGCAAATCTTTTTTTGTGTGCACTTTCTTTCTTCCATGCGCCCAAATGCAATGGGTTTTCCTAGTTTGGAAGATTGTAGATGGCGCCCTAATCACATGGCGCCCTGGGCAGCTGCCAGAGTTGCCGGTTCCTTGAGCCGGCCCTTCTTCCTCATCCTCCTCATCCTCATGTCCCTTAGTCCTTGGACCGTTGGGGCGCCCCAGATGGCATGTGAACCATCCTCCTCCATTCCTCTCTGTCTTCAGCACTTGCTTCATTAGTTTTCCTCAAAGCATTCAAAAGTCTTTGACAACATATTAAATAAGTCGGCATACCTTAACGTCCTTAAGCAACAAGATTTTTAATATGCATACTGTACACATATTGTGAATGAATGAATGGATGGATGGATGAATGAATGGATGAATGAAGCAAATGACTGATTTAGCAATAAAAATTCAAGTCATAAATTACAATATTTGTACTTTTCTGCATTTTTTGTGCAAAGTTAATTATTTGGTTACAGTTAAATGTTCTTAGAACTTCACTTTCAATTGAAAGTAATGAAAGTGCTGCCATTCTATCCTGACCAAGTGTTGATCTTAAGCAATTTTTAACCCTCTTCAACACTGAAAATGATATTTCTCCTTCACAAGTCGTTCCAAAAATAGCCAGGTAAATTCGCAGAGCAATAATTACATTTGGAAAGGCATTCACCAATTTGTCAGTAATCTGCATCTCTCCAGCATTTTTGTCACAGATATTTGGCCACATAATTGAGAAAAAGTAATAAATAATAATCTCATGAATATTAATTTGGGCGAAGTTAATTTTCATGAATATTAACATCGGCAGATAAAGCAGTTTTACCGTTATTAATAATTAAATTTTAGTTTAAAATTTAGATTCATGAGTTATATCTAAAATCTGTCTACATTGGAATTGGATGAAACAAAACATTAACTTGACTCACTTTCAAGCAAGAAATTCTGTAAAAGGATATCGGAAAGAAAATATTGACCAAAGAAAAAAATGGCATCAAGATCTTGAAAGTATTACCTATCAGTCCATAATATGCGCAATCATTGAAAAGTTATGAACGAAATAGAAAAAAAAAATTTCTTTGTTTGGCCTTATTTTTGTTTGTAGGCCCTAGGCACGGTGCCTAAAGTGCCTAAGCCTTAATCGAGCCTTGGTAAGTCACTGGTCAATGCTCATTGCTAAAGATATCATATATGATTTGATTTCTATTATCATTCATTTCATTGACCAGTCTCATTCAAAAATTGTTTGGCAATGTCACTCGCAAGATGGCGACACCAAAGAAAAATTTATTATATTCAGCTTTATTCACAACCAATGTTGTAGAGAATTTATTGAATATTGCTTTTAGTATTGGTTAAAAATCAATACCAATATCAAAAATAATTATTGGCAATACCAATACCAATACCAATATCAAATTTCAAGAAGTATTGCAATATCGTCCCAATACTTAAAAAAAAAGTATTGGCAATACTACCAATACCAATACAATATTGCAATATTAACAACCCTGGTGGTTTGTTACATTACGGCAACGTCCATTACAAATTATTATAGTATTTAACATTTGAGAAGAGAAGTTGTCCTGGATTATTTTGGTCTGGCTCAATATTTGCATACATTATTATTCCGAATTCGCATGCCATTTAATGTGCTCAGAAAAAGAAGATTGGCTAAAATGAAGAAATGTTTGCTTTTTTGCAAACGCTCACACTTGACTAGTTATTTGTAATATGTTTAGAAGTCAGCCTCTGCTTGACTAGTTATTTGTAATATGTTTAGAAGTCAGCCTCTGCTTGAGTAGTTATTTGTAATATGTTTAGAAGTCAGCCTCTGCTTGACTAGTTATTTGTAATATGTTTAGAAGTCAGCCTCTGCTTGACTAGTTATTTGTAATATGTTTAGAAGTCAGCCTCTGCTTGACTAGTTATTTGTACTATGTTTAGAAGTCAGCCTCTGCAAGTAATTATAATCAAGCGTTTGCGGCAAAAGATGTCATTAGGGTTGGTGTCAACCAGTGCGATAAACTCATGGTATCATGTCACCCTACCTCCATCCCAATGCCGAACCACCCACCCCCGCACTGGTAATTCTTACACATATAATACAGATTTGCTGACAGTATTGTTTGTAAATTAGGAAAGTCATCAATCTAAAAAAAAAAAAGATGTAAGAGGGAAGGATTGAGTTTGAAGTAAAGGCGTTTGAAAAATGCACGAAAATTACTTTTTGTTCTAAACACTAATTTACAGTTCAAACTTTGCTTTCCTGGTCTTTAAAGAAGCAAACGTGTCAATGACATCATCAAAATCATCAGTCTTCACCTTTAACACTTTCACTTGACAAAATCGCAAGACCAGAAAGCCTAGACTGTTACCATGGTAGATGGCAAATAGTTCTTTATAAGTTTCATTTCCTCTCAAATGAAGTTATAGACACACATACTATTATCAATAATTAAAGGGACTAATGTTGGCATCCAGCTCTGGTTGGCACC